TATAATTTAATTATATTAGCTTCAATTTAAAATTCTCTCAGTTTAAAATTTAAATAGAAAATTCTGACAAATTAAGGAAAATCTTGTTTATTTAATTATTGCAGAAATACTTAATTTTAATTATTAAATCTTAAATGTCAAATTATTTTGTCAATATTAATTAAATATTTTAATTAAAAATTTTACTATACAGAAATTCTAAATTAACAAATAGATCATCTGAATAGAGTAAATCTAATAATTTTTAAACTTTGCATAATTTAATTAATAACATTAATTAAGAATTCTACTTAAATTAAATTTTAATTTCTATTTAAAATATTTCTACTTCGCGGGAATACTTGTTCAGTCGGGATGTAGGAATGCGTTTTGTATATGAAGAAATTCACGATGGCCGTCAATCTTTCGCGTTTCAAGGGAAGGAACTGTCTCGCGATCAAACCAAGATGCAACTTCAACGGTCTTCGCATAAGTCTTCCCAGCTGTATGCATTGTTCGTGCGAGTTGACAGATGAGCCTGACGTGTCAAGCCTGTCGAGAGCTCGAAACACTGTCATTGTACAAAACGAGCTTTTCCGCATCTAGTTCGCTCTAATTCGGTGTGCCAGACTCCATAATTCCGATGTGGAATAATCTGTGTTCCGCGAGTATTTAGAAACGGTATAGTAACGTGTGACAAGTTTGTGCGATTACCTCGCGAGATCTAGTTTGCGGAAACGTAATAAATACCGACCTGCTTAGCCATCGTACGTTATACTAAACGTGGCTTCCTAAGAGGCGCAAGACATCCCAAAATGCGCAGTCCTTTCAAACGACTAGCAAGTTCTTTTATTTACAGTATTTTGTCCCATACAAGTTAATTTTTTTTTTCTTGTAAAAATATACATCGAATACGATGTATTCTCTATCAGTAAATTATTATAATAGAGCACGTAGATAAAAATAACGATATTGGTCACATTGGTGATCGTAAATCCTAAAATACGCAGACCTTTCAAAGTTTCTAGCAATTCCTTTTATTTATAGTATTTTGTCCCGAGTTAATGTTTTTTTTTTTTTTTTAAAATAAATAAAAATATATATCGTATTAATTATTACAATGGAGCACGTAAATAAAAATAACGCCTTAGCCACATCGGTGTTTGCAGGAAAGCATGTGCTGCAAGTGATTTTCTACTTGAATGTTGGCTACTGTTTGACAGGAATACCAAGTACTTTTCTTGCGACGTTAAATCCTGCATTATACGTTCGTTGAATTCATTATCGTACGGTCCGTCTTCGTGCATGTTTGTTCCCAAAGCGTCGCGATGTTTCTCTCGGGAAGGAAGCAGGGCCGACGCAGGAAGACTTTTAAATTATTTGAATCTTAGACGGGAAAGAATGGGAAAATAGCGTACACATTTTCGTACGTCTTTACACGTAAATTTCTCATATTTTAGATATCTCTTACCGTATATGCAATAACAATATTTATTCTAAATTTCTAATAATCGTATTTATTAAGATAAAATTTCAAAAATGATCCTTCGCGATTAAATACTAAGTAAAGTCACCAATAAAATAAAATTCTAAACAAAGCCGTTGTTTTATCATGCTTTCGTTACGCTACGTTTATTTCTAATCCTTTCTACGCGGTGTGAAAAATTACTCACTTTCAGTTCCGACCCTGGCGGAACATCTCTCTCGAGATTTCACGATCTGCGGAATCTTTCGTTTGTTTTCATGGATTGGTCCTCTTTACTCGCGCATCGATCTCTTCCCTCGACCAATAACAATCGCTGGATGGATGCGGAGTTTCGATCTACGAGATCTCTCGCCCGTTCGGCAAACGACAGTCTCTCGCGAATCCCATGAGATCCCGCGAAATAATGCTTGATTCGTTTCGCATGTTGGATTTTGAGTTTCCGCCTTGCCACGGTCTACTTCTGCTCTATTTTTATAGCTTTAAGCGCGGTCGTTACTTTATACTATAATATTTCGGAAATAGAAATCACCAATATCCCTATGCAAACCTAATGTATGCTGCGAAATATTGATTGAACTTTAACAGTCAATATTGTTTTAATAATAATACATTATTTAACTGTCTGAATTATGATGTTTATTCGGCTCAATGCTCGTTGAAATACTCATCTAGTTATCAAGAAACGTTAACATTTCAATGGGAGAGAAAATATATGTAATATATGTAATATATGTAATATATGTATAATTTCTCGCTGAATAACATTGTAATTCAATATGACTATAATGAGTAATTCAAAGTCTTAAAGAAACATGCAGTTTCATTATCACAGGATAATCCGATCTGAGTCAATATTGATTAATATTATTGCCAAAGAAAGAGAGAGAGAGAGAGAGAGAGAGAGAGAGAGAGAGAGAGAGAGAGAGAGAGAGAGAGAGAGAGAGAGAGAGAGAGAGAGAGAGAGAGAGAGAGAGAGAGAGAGAG